GAAATGGTTGTAAAAGCAGGAACAAGAACAAACGTCAAAGCGTCGTCTCGAAAAATAAAAGCTGGTTTGACACGATCATGACATTAACTCTCTTGAGCTCGAAAGAAAACTTTTTGCATCATCAAGACTCTTGCTTTCAGAACATAAACAAAAAGTTCATGAGGCAGGCAAAGAGTGTGTCTGTATACCATTTCAGCTAAAGTAGTCTTGACATTCTTCTTGAAAGCTGAACGAATTTTGAGAAGTACAAAAGATAATTCACGAACCCAATCTATGTTGAAATTAGCCATGGTTATAGCTTTTAATTAGCGATGTAAGCGTTTAACCAAACCATTTGAAGCTGTATGCCCACTATAGTAAGCTTATACTAAGCTCCAAAAGGTTTTACAAAATCCTTAAAAAGATCAGAAGTAAACTAAGCTCCTGTATGTGAAGTAATAGTTTGAGGACAACCAAAACAAGAAATACAACAACTCAAAAGTGCGCGAGTCACTGAATCTGCAGTAATATCTTGCAAAGGGTAAGCCTCCGACCAATGAGTAAAATGATCGATAACGATCAAGCAATATCTGAAAGAATGTACAGGTGGAAATGGACTAATCAAATTTATGGGAACGTGCTCGAATCTTTGCGTTGGAGTTTCGAATAATCCGAAAGGAACACTAACATGACGAAAAATTTTTGATCACTGAACTCTCTGCAAGCACGAGCCCAATTTCTCCAATCTTTATTCATAGAAAGCTACAAAAAAACAGTCGCTTATAAGCTTGAGTGAAGCGTAGGTACCTGGATGAAGCCATAAGTTATGAAGTTGATTGAAAACACAACAACGAAAGTAAACTATGGTAAAGGGCTGAAGTTTTCCTGTTTATGTATCACAAAACACAGTTACTAGAGATCCAAAAAAATGGTACTTTTTCGATGTACAAAGAAGAAATTTCATCGATTAAGTTCTGTGTCTTCTTCTTGAGATTCAACTTATAGCTTGTAATCAAGTGGTGCAGAAACAGCTTCGATTAGCAAAAGAGTATTAGTTACAACATTGTCAATACCTTTTATATATTCAACGTCAGTTAAAAATTTTGATATGAAAGACAGTTAGTTTAACTGCACTTGTGTGAGTTTTTCACGTTTTTGTTGAAAAACATACATTAACGGTTTGTGATCTGTGTAAATCGTGAAAAAATACCCAAAATGCTAAGCTGCAGTATAATCTGCTTGAAGTTTACGATATTAGCAGGCCAAGAGCTTTCTTTCGAAGACATCTTCTTAGTATAAAATTTAAGGGGTTATCAAACATTATCAACAAGATGTTGTTAAAAAAGAATGATTTAAAGCATTTTTAAACAAACCAAGTGATGCACCAATCTGAAAATGAACAAAAAGTGAGGCAGTAGGAATAAAATTCTTACAGATTTTAATAACTTCTTTTAATTGAAATTTCCAAGTGATTAGTTGAGAACCTTTTAAAATTGGTTTGCTCATTGCATCATGTAGTGGAGCTTTGTATTCAAATGTAGAAGATATAAATCTGTGGTAAAAAGTTAACATACCTAGGAAACGGCGAAGGCTTTGAGCTGCTTTTGGCAAAGGATAGTCCTTCATTGCTTGGATGTGTTCTTCAGGCATTCAGATACTAGCAGCATAACCTACGAAATTAACCCCAGAAACTCTAAAGTGACATTTCTTTAAATTTATTACCATTCCATATTTTACAAGTCGTACAAAGATGGTTTTAACGTGTATTTCATGCACTGTTTTTGAGCAAGAGAAAAAAAGGATATTATCCATATATACAAAACAAAAATCCATTCCATTTAGGACTTCGTCATGAAACCTTTGAAATGTTTTGCCAGCGTTTTGAAGACCGAACGTTATGAACGAAAATTCAAGAACGTCAAATAGAGTTGTAATAACAGTCTTACAAATATCTTTTTTAACGACTTGAATTTATTGGTGAGCTTTAACAACGTTGATTTCCAAAAATTCTGTACAGTTATTGATGAAAAAACATCCTGAATGTGGCGAACAGGATAATGATCCGGCATAATTCGAGCATTCAACGTGCGTCATTTAACGAGAGTCGTTGAAGCCACAGTTAATGTAAGAGGTTCTCCTGCACGACGATTACACCAAGAAAAGAGCAGTGGTGTCAGAAGAGCTGTGATGGTTTGCGATTATCAAGCTTTTTCTAGCTGATTAGTAGGCAAACGCGTTATTCTTCTGACGCAGACAATTACTTGAATAATTAAGTACGCAAAAATGTGTATGGCTGCAACTGAGAAGAGTTTAAAATGACATCCTTTTGTTTGTGATATCAAAAATTAAAATCTAAGAATCGGCTTGCACTAGCCACAAACTTGGTTAATGAAACCGCGCCAAGATGATCCGCAGCAAGAGCAGTAGGGTACTGATTCTGCTATTGATTCTGATTCTGATTCTGATTCTGCTATGGTTGTCGTTATTTTTGCTGTTGTCGTTGTTACCCTTTCTGTTGTTGTTGTTGTTGTTGTTGTTGTTGTTGTTGTTGTTTTTGTTGTTGTTGTTGATTTGCCTGTTGGTGCAGTTGTTCAATCCGTAAGTTCTTTTGTTTGCAACGCATTACTCCTTGAGGTCCCCAATATAAGAAAATGCAAAATAAAAAATAAATTGTTACTACTTGTTTTTCCTATTTTACAATATTAACATGCCCCGTTATCATAAATTAGCGTTGCTAAGCAAACTTCACGCTCCCCTGTGAAGTTCGATTACATAAATCACCACAAACGTGACATTCTAAAATAACATTAAAAATCGTTAGCACTCACCCCCGAGTGGTTGAAAGGCAAAACGCTGGTTCAAAGCTGTTTTATAGTAGTGTTACATTGAGGCTGCGCTCGACGTACCTTTTTTTTCCCTCCTCCTCTCCTTATCCTTCTCGTAAAGCCGCGTTTTCGTAGCAAGCTAAATGACATACACACATACACCAAGTACCAAAACTAAGGCTTCGTGACACACATATAAGGAGAAACCGAGTAAGACAAAGAAGAACTAGTCTACATCTCCCTCCCTCCTTATGCGTCGACATCGCCTGATGAAATTTAATAATTTTCTATCCTTTCCCTCTTCTGTGTCTTAACCATTCGTAAATAAGCCGACGCTCGAGCCAGGATGTTGATCTACATATCAGCCAGCGTTCATGCAACGTGAATTGACAACAGCATGCTATACTTCTACCACCTTCTTTCTCTAACACTTACATACCCAGAGACGCCAAGCTGAAAAATAACGCGAACTATAATACAACCTAATCCCGATAAGTAAGCACTGGGACCAGTATCGTTACTATACTATATTCTTTAGCAAGTAAGCGTCACCCCAAAACCAAAACAACATATTATGTAAAGGAAGACGGAAAGCATACAGGAAATCTTTCCCTCTCCCTGCCATGAGATGATGCAGACTGATTCTAAGAACCTATGTGCGTCTCGCCGTCTCTGGCCGTAGTGGCAGTAATAAGGAGGCAAGACCTTCGGCTATATAAGCCCATGGCCTCCTGCACGAGCAGCTCAGTCTAAAAAAAATTCGCTCAATGGTCAAGCCAGCTTGGGTGTATACCTAGAGCAGTAGCCAGACTAAAGGCAAACAACCTGGAGAACCCGGTCAATGCATTCAATGGTCAGGCCAGCTTGATAAAATACCGAAAGCAGTAGCCAGACTAGAATACACGACCTGGAGAACCCGGTCAAAGTCTATTCGTGACCTGGAGAATCCGATCCGCAGTTTCGATTTCAATTATATCCGGCCACCCGGATATTATTAATTTTTAATTAAAAAATAACAAGAATCGAGTACCACTAAGTTGTGTGCCAGTTGGTAAAAATGCTGATGGCCAAGCAACTAGCCTCCTTTTAAAGAAAATCAAGTACTGCTAGGTTGTGTGCCAGTTGGTGAAAATGCCGATGGCCAAGCAACTAGCCTCCGTTTAAAGAAAATTAAGTACCGCTAAGTTGTGTGCCGGTTGGTGTAAATGCCGATGGCCAAACAGCCAGTTCTTAGTTAGCCAACCCAATTTTCAAACTATACGTCGTGCGTCGCTAATAAAATACTGGCAACCAACCACTATAGATCCCTAAAAAGGAACCAACTTACGAACTCCAAGTAAATGGCCAGTTACGTGCCGTGGGTACAAATACCGATGGCCAAGTAGCTAGCTAACCCTTCTTTTATCATCTACCCTGTTCCTACCCTAATGCCCCGTCCTCAACCCTTGCTGTCATGTCCATAGGCTATTGGGTGAAAGCTTAGGCCTAAATACAAAATTTACTTTTACGCCGTCTTCGACGTAACAGTAGTTTTTACAAGTAACATAAAAACTTTTTTTTAAGTTATTGCTAATTTTGATAGCTTATGGCACGTAAGAACTTGAAATTTATTTGCTGATAAAATTAAGGATTAATTAGTGTAGTAGTTTTTAAAGTTATTTGCAAACATATAAGCAAATGCTGTCTCTTCATTTAATAGTAAGGTAAATGATAAAATTCACTAACTGCGCTGACGTTTTAAGAAACATTTAATGACAATTTTGAATTTTTAAGACTATAACAAGCAAAATAGAATGAACTACAGAGAATATAGAAATTTGGTATTTAATTAGGCTTCTAGTATAACAACAACGTAGCTGATACGAAGCCCACATGAAAAAAAAGAAGAACTAGTAAGATAATGTCTGACATGCAATTTATTCGAAGAATTAAAAAAAAATTTTCATAGATGTTAAGATCTTTTTTTATATGATTACGTCCAACATTCGAAGATATATTGTAGTATCAAGAGTACAAGACATAATATTTCTTATTTAAAAAAAAACGTAAAATGCATTGTAATAATGTAACATATTATTTAGATGTATTAAGTAGCCATTAAGGAGTAAAGTACAATGTTAGTCATACTTTAATACAGAAAGCATTTTATTTTAAGTTAAATAATATAGTACAAACAAATAACAAAAATGTACTTACTGGATTCCTTAGCACCTCTTCTAAAAGCATCGTATAAAGTACGGGTGTCATCATAAATATAACTTACAAATTTACCCTGCCTGCTTTCGTTGTAGAATTTTGAGATGCGTATAACCTCAGAGCCCTAAAACATTTTTACAGTGAACAATATTCAGTTTTTTACTGTATGATTACTTGGAAGTATTGAACTCTATTTTAAAAGAATAAAAAGAATAACAATCAATGTGATAAAAAAGAGAAATTTTTTTTAGTAAGTAAAATTAGCTAAGGTAATGAGTTTGTTCCAGATAAGTCTTATTCAAAAGAAGAATTTTTATTTTCCTAAATATTCCGTTAATAATACCATCATCTTATTATCATCAGTCTGGGCATAAGGATTATATAGACTGATCTCTTTAGAGAGACGAATTTATCAGCTTACTCGATAAATAAGAAAAAGTGTAGTACCATAACTTTTGCTTTTACTAGTAGGACTGCGAGGAGTGGTGACTTAAAGCCACCTTGAGAAAGTGGCTTCATTCTGACAACAGAGAAAATGGTGTACTGATTTTGCCTTATTACAGTCTCAAAGTTTTAGCAGAGAAAGTACTGAAAACTTTCACTTGTAAATACGTTATGAAGAAAAAAACATTATGAAGAACGTGAATATACTATATCCACTCCTGAACTCTTAGAAAATTACTCAAACACATTAATAAGTAATGTAGCAAGAACTATTTAACTCATCTAAGGACCTTACAGTACTTGGATAAAAAGACAGCTTCACAAGTGTAGGAACTAACATTAGCTTACAAGATACAAGAAAAATTCGATGACATGGTAGATTCAAAATAAAAAGTCAAATAGATTCGAAGCAAAAATTAGAAGATGCTAGACTAGGTAGCAGACTAAGTTAAGAAGTCCTTAATTACATAACTGCAACGTATGATGATATTTCGAAAGTTGTCAAAGGTGGTATGCATGATGTTTGTGAGTAATAATAAAACAGAGAGATTGTAATGATGTCAAGTTTTCTGGATAGTCTAGAATACATAGAACCTGTATAAATTTTTTAAATATTTTTAACAGGTCTTTTTAAAAAAGTTATAGAAATAAAAATCATGTTATTTATATAGGCTACAATGGAATATAACCTCTTTGTCTCGTTTTAATGGGCGAAAATTTTTGAAAAATGCATAAGAAAAAATCAACGTACGAATTAATTATTGCTTAATGCTTAAGTAAGCAAAACTTTTAGGCCTGTAATGGTGCTTTGTAAACAATGTAAACGTCAAACGTAAGTAAGATATTGAGTTTTTTTGGCGCAAGAGGAAGTGCGTGGTACAGGGAACCAAGCTGCACAAGTAGGAGGGATGCCTACTTCCTTACCCCTTTGAATAATACATTTATTTAAATAATACTTAACAAACTTTCTGAAGGTAGTTTCACAACTTATTAATAAAATTTGAAGAAAAAAAACCTTATATTTATGAGTACAGGCACTACATGGATTGGCAGCTTTGGGAACGTATAATAGTAGAATTTTGATATCATGCTTAGAAAAAGATAATAAAATGTCATTGGTCAGATCAAAAGTAACCTCAATTTACCATTGCCAACTAGAAAGGGACAATATAAATTTGCTCTAAGGGTGAGCTAACTCAGAAAAATTTTTTGTTTTTAAATTTTAGAGTTGCAACACTATATTTATAGTTTTTATTAAACGAATGTAAAGAAAACAAAACCGTATATAAAACATTGTAAAAGTGAGAGAGAGGTCTGTACACTAAACCTTACGAATTCCGTACCACATATTATGTAGCCATGCCAGCACAGCAGTGCATGTTTCAAAGGTATTCATTAATAGGAACACTGACATATAAAATTGTTAGATTTATATATAGTAGTAATGCTTATTTTAAGATTTGCATAGTTTATAATGGCTCTGTGAGCTTAAGCAAACTTTTCATAGATGGCCTTCTGTGACATTTCTTTTTACAGTGTCTAAGAGTATAAGCACGTATGAAGTAGAGTCTTTTCCTTTTGTTTACATTTGTTTGATTTAATTTTCGTATGGATGGTCAAAGTTATTATAGATAAATAAGAGACTTATAAATATATTTGTTTAAATAAACACGAGTGTTAAATTACAAATTAGATACTTTCCATGAACTTACCCAATCCTACTCACGCATACTCCTCACGGTATTTAAAAAACGTTTAGTCAGCTGGGCATCAGAGAATCAGATATCATTTTTTAAGATTAAAAAAAAGTATTTATTATAGTTATTTTAACTTTTGTAGTTATTATTACTACCCCATAAAAAAACCGTTGAATAAAACGAAAATGTTGGGTAAGTTTGACGTGTTAAGTTTATATTTTGTAAGAAATTTCTGAATTCTTTGTACATTTATAATGAATAGTATTCTTTAAAATTAATCTATAGCTTTGAATAGTACTGAAATCAAAACGAAAAAAAGGTCAAATTTTTTTTTGTGCCGTAATATATATTTTGTATCACACTCATAGTACAAAACTATCTAGAATTTGTAATTAAACAACATTAAACTAAGTAATATTGACTTAAAATTGGTATTGTGTATAAACCTTTTAATAAATAGATTAGAGTAATGCCTTAACATTTTGATATACTTCAAACATAGAGTGGCATTGATGTTTTTAAGGTGAGGTTTGCACGAAGTACCAGTAAAAAGACAATACTATTTAGTCTGATTTTATTAAAATACCAGTACTAGACAGTTTTATACTACGAGTATAATACAAAATATATGTAACGCCAAAAAAAAACTTGACCGTTTTCTTGTTTTGATTTAGAAACTTCTTAAGGCTACAGATTTATTTGAATAAGCACTATTAGTTCTCAGTGAAAGAAGGCTTTAGAAATTTATTAAAAAACATAACTCAACACGTCAAAATCACCTTACCTTTTTGTTTTGTTGAAAGGTATTTCAATAAGGTGTAATGTCGGCGCAACGTACCATTCGAGCCTAAGCTTTCACTTAACAGCTTGGGAATCGCACTGGACGCGTAGGAGGGACGTGGGGCTAAAAGGTGATTATTTTTCTTGTCTGAATATTTGAAAGGGGGTGAGGGCGTCCGTCTTGATTAAATAAACGTGATTGTCAAGCAATAATACGATGTACTTGTTCGCAGCATGCCTCGGATTTATCGAGGATACTTGGTGTGATGTGTTGTACCGTATCCCGTTCGCGATCTACAGGTTACCAGTACCATAACGACCTTAGAGTTACACTTTGGAGGTTACGTAAGGGGTAAAAATGGTTTAAATTTGCGACTGGTCTAGGATCCACCAGTACCATCTGGGGTAAAAGTGATTGTTCTGATGTGAAATTATGATGATAATTATGAAAATGGTAGTAGCAATATTGATATCGATAATAATAATAATATTTTAAATAATAATAGTATAAGTGATGATAAAAATGCTTATAATACTAAGGAAGTTAATGACAATTATAACAAGATAATAATACCAATAAAAAAGATGATAATACTATTTGTAACTATGTCAAAAATCAAAATATTGATAATAATGATAATGATGACAAAGGTCCTAATAATAATGGTAATAACGATAATAATAGTAAGAGAGATAATGAAAATAATGGTAAAAATGATGGATAAATATAAAATTTATAATGAAGATAATCATGGAAATAATGATACCAATAAAAACATTTATGACAATAAAAATCACAAAAGAGACTAAAATAATAAAAGTAGTTATGATTATTGTAACTATGATAATAACTATATTAAAGATCACAATAAATATTATTATAATGATGAAAATAATGATGATAAAAATAATAATAACAATGAAAATAGCGCTGATACTCTTCATGACAATGAAAATAATGAATATAATTCTAAAATTAAAGATAACAATAATAATACAGACGATCATCTTAATGGCAATAATTACAATAATCATGGTAATAAAAATAGTAATAAAGGTGATAATGAGAATGATGATGTTAATAACAATGATGTTGATTATAATAAAGATAATAGTTTACATATTACTGATAATGGTGATAATATTAAAGACAACAATGATGAGAATAATAAGTAAGATGATGAGAATGATACTGATGACGATGATAATAATGACAAGTATGATACTAAGGATGATGACAATAATAAAAATGATTGTAATAGTGTTATAATAATAATGATGGTGATAATGAAAATTATGATACAGATAACGAACATAACAACGATAATGAATACGATGTCGATAAGAATATTCATGAGGACAATAATAATGATTATGATAGTGATGATGTTGATGATAATGACAGTGTTGATAATGATGATGATGATGATGATAATAATAATAATAATATTAATAATAATGATGATAATGATGATAATGATNTGATAATGATGATGATAATGATAATGATAATGATGATGATGATAATGATGATGCTAATAAAAATAATGATAATGTTTGTAATAATAATAATATTTATAATGATAGTTATAATTATGATAATATTAATAGCTATAATTATCGGGAAAATGATTATAGTAGTGATGTCAATAACAATAAGTATGTTAATTATAATAATGACAAGTTGACGATAGTAGTTAGAATTATGATGATAGTAATAAGAAAATGATGATGACGATGATGATGATGATGATGATGATGATGATAATAATGATGACGATGAAGATGATAATATTGATAATGGTAAGGATGATAGTAGAAATTACAATAATGATTCAGATCAATATGATAATAATGATGATATGCATGATAACGATTATAATAATCATAAAAAAAATCGTTGTGATTATAATAATATTATTGATGAGAATGTGACATTTTTAATTATTGCAGACAAAAAATACAATGAGCAAAACTGCAATCCATCTGTGAAGTTTATGTAAGAAGTGTTGTGTATATACTGTAAGCTCCCATATCAGGTTAAGCTCATACGTTACCTATGTAGGTGTAAGTGTATTAGTTATAGGATGAATGTTTCATAATATGCTGACACATAATACGGCCAGCCTCGTTGTATGTATTTATGTATATATTGAAATCGCACGTTATGCATAAATCGTATTGCGTACACAAATAAGAAGTT